ATATATATATATATATATATATATATGTATCTTGTCATAATGAGACTCATTCATATAATAACACAGATAAACTTAGAAATAAGATTGAGAATAGACATAAATCAAAATCCGATTTCTTTTTGTATATTAATAACATAAAAGAAGGGATATAGACGCTCCTCTTGATCTTTTATTATGTGTAATTCCACGTTTTGGGTTGGAGATACAAAAGTGAAATCATCATATAAAAGGCTACCCCCACTCTTAATCCAACACCACTTATCCATTTAACTCTTCTCGGATTTTTTCGAGATCAAACTTAACGTCAATAAACCTGTTTCCTTTTTCGTATACGTCAAAATCTCGAAATGTAACTCTCAAATGTTACATAACATTTGGAGTTTAAATGCAAATCTTGAAACATCTAATTGATTATATATATGTGTGTGTGTGTGTGTGTGTAAAGAAAATGTAAATGGTATATAAGGTTGGTTTTGCTTTGGATCCATGGTGTGTGGTGTGTACTCCTTTCTGGACATTAGGCCTGCCTTTTATATATATATATATATATATATATATATATACATATTCTTACTGTTGCTTTCTGAGTTTTCTTTTCTGTTTTAAATCAATTTACCTTTTACATCTTTACACTCTTATTTCCAGTCATCTTTTGCTGCTCTGATCTCCTAAAAGTTGGAAAACCAAAACAAAAATTATATATAAAATAAATGGGTGTTAGGAATCCTATGCACCCTTTTTTCACAAAATTATATAATTATATATACATACATATATATATATATATATATATATACACACACACACATACAAAGAGAAAACAGAAAGTTTAGCAAGTTCCCTATGTGTGAAAGAGATTTGAAGATGAAAAAAAAAAAAAAACCAAAACTTACCCAATGCAGCAGCCTGCAAAGTTCTAAAGGGAAGCCTCACTCTTCCTCTTTAACATATTTCAATAAAGATGGGGGGAAGTCGGGGCGGAGCGGAGCCACCACCGGCCACCACAGTTTGACTAGACACCACCACCGTCTAGGATCCTCCTCTTTTGACCCCCATCACAATCATCATCACTTGTATCATAAAAACAATATGACAGATAAAGATACAGATCAAAAGCACCAACGGATCCTTTTTAATGGCCCTCCCTATTTATTTTTTCATTAATTCTTCCATCAACCCTTGTATACCCGTTGGCTGGCTCCTACAAGTTTGCCGACGGATTCAATGACTTCGACCCATGACCTAATGTTGTAACTTTTACAAGATTTAGACATCCGCTCTATCATTTGGAAGAGAGGTAGAGGTCGGGTCTGCATACATCTTACCATCTCCAGTTCTAGGTGGGAAATACTGGGTTTGTTGGATTCTCACTTTTTTTAAACAAACTTCCGAGGACCAAACCCATTCCAATTCCTTGTGTTTCAAGTTGACTTAGAACTGCCATATCTAGGATCAAGTAAAAAACTGTAACTAGATTGTACTTCAAAACTATTCAAGTTGGCTGAGAATAATTGTCCTTTGACTAAGAGTAACTGTACCTTAGGAAAAGCTGTTAATAACAAGTGGAGGTACTCAAATAGATTCCTTTCCAAACTCTCAAATCAAATGGGTCTCTTCCAAAACAAGGGTTATATGTCCTTGATGCATGTGATCCTATGCCTCCCTACATGATTCTAACACCCAAAGCTGACCCAATAACTTCGAATTCGACTTAAAACCACAGTGGAAGTTATTAGTAGACCATAACTTGAGGCTTATAAGGAGCTCATCAAATCCCATTTTCTATCTATGTGGGATGATTTGTTACAATGTTGGGACTAAAGGGTCATTTGCAAAGGCTCCTAAGACCATATATATATATATAAGAAGTAAAACAACCACAAAGACTGGACTCTGCTCATCAAGAATACGAGTAATTAATCCAACTAAGCTCTGGCTTCTAGGTTATGTTATTGTTTATTCATGAATTTGAAAAATTATGTTTGGTTGGACTAATATGAAATCTTGTTTCGAATAATAATGTTACGTTTGTTTGGATTAATATGAAATATGTAGTTATTTTTGTAAAATTATTGTTTCATTCAGATATCAGCCAAACAGCTTTATTTCATTCAGTACTAAATCATTCAGAGAGTTAAAATGGTAATTTTACTGTCATTCAGAGAACAGTTACCAAACAACATTATTTCATTCAGCACTTAACCATTCTGACCCTCTTAACTATTCTGCATAAATCATTCAGCGACTGCCAAACAGCCCCTAATACTCTAATTGTTGGGCTATGGTAGCCCAAGGTCCCATCATAGTGGGCAAGGCCCAAGTCCAATTGAAAAGGCTGAAAGGCCCAATAGCTAGACCATTGCAGATTGCAGAATAAAGGCATTCTGGGACGCAGATATAAGCCCCAAAGGAACCAACATTAAAAAATCTATGGACCAACAGACTCATTACTAGTAGAAAACAAATGAAATCCCTCATCAATCTACAGTTGTCATTCCTATGCTTTTTTTTGGTAACCGTGGGTTTCCTGGCTCGCTTTAAGTTCACCTACAATGGCATGGAGTCATTGCAGGTGAACCTCCATGGCTACAAGGCTCTAGCAGTGCCTAGATTCGAACCATTGTGCAACATCTAGGCTAACCGTACCAAATATTATCCGTTTTGTCCGCACACCTGGACCCACGGTTTTAGGATTGACGCGTCTGGTAGAGGAGGTATCCAATCCCTTATAAGGCAACCGTTTTCCCCTCCCCAACCGATGTGGGATTTCTTAATCCCCCCCCCCCCCATTGGGAGCCCAACGTCCTCACTGACACACCAGTCCAGTTCCCGACTCTAATACCATCTGTAGCATACCGGGCCAACCATACTAGATATTGTCCACTTTGTCCACACACCTAGACTTACGGTTTTAAAATGGGTTTGGTAGAGAAGGTATCCAGTCCCTTATAAGGCAACTTTTGTTCCCCTCCCCAACCGATGTGGGATCTCAGACAGGGTAGATGAGATTTTCCAATACATCCCTTGAGACTTAACCAGTGCGCCACAACCTAAGCGGTTGTGATTCCTATGTTCGATTCAAAGTCCCAAGGATTAGATCAATATTGAATCAGTAAATGCTCTCTCTTTCTTTTATAGAATTATGAACATAGGTTTTCTTCGGTATTTTCTGTTCTTTTAATTGTTTTTCTTCGTATATTAAATAGTAAGTACTCAATCCGCGAGTGTATTTGCTTCTTTATCACCCAAAAACCGAACAAAAAGCAATCTTCCTATTCTGGGTACAAGAAAATTACAGCAAAAATTACGATTTTCATGTTTTTCCCATTGCTATCCATGATCATATGCCCCAACAGTGATCAAGAAATGCAAATCACCGAAAATTTTGATACCTTTAATTACTCAAATGTCAAATTTACACAGAAAAAGCAGGTTTACCCAAGAAATCACCATAAAATTTCAGCATCAAGTAGCTTGGCAAACATAAGATTATAGAAAGAATATAACCGAAAATCTTGATCAAACTAGCAATTATGTAAATGTACATAATTGTAACCAGATTGTAGTAAAAGGCCATTCAAGTTTGGCTGAGAATGATTGTCCTTTGACTAAGAGTGGCTGTACCTTAGCAAAAAGCTGTTAATAACAAGTGGAGGTACTCAAATAGATTCCTTTCCAAACTCTCAAATCAAATGGGGCTTCCTAGAAAGGTTAATGTCCTTGATGCATGTGATCCTATGCCTCCCCGTGCATGATGTTTGTAACACCCAAAGCCTAAAGTATCAGGTTGACCCAATAATTTCGAATCCAACTTAAAACCATGACAAAAATTATTGATATCCCACAATTTGAGGCTTACAAGGAGCTCACAAATCTCATTTTCTATCCATGTGGAATGAGTTGTAACAATGTTAGGAGTAAAGGGTCATCTGCAAAGGCTCCTAAGACCATATATATGAAGTAAAACAACCACAAATGGACTCTGCTCATCAATGATACAAGTAATGCTTAATACAACTAAACTCTGGCTTCTAGGGTCACTTTAATTGTTGGTCTATGGTAGGCTAAGGGCCCATCATAGTGGACAAGGCACAAGTCCAATTGAAACAGTCTGAAAGGCCCAAAAGCTAGACCATTGCAGAATAAGGGCATTCTTAGAGGCAGATAAGCCACAAAGGAACCAACGCCAAAAAGTCAATGGACCTAACAGACTCTGAGAAATCTATATTTTTTATTATTACTAGTAGAAAACAAATGAATGCCCTCATCAATCTACAGTTGTGATTCCTATGTTTTTTTGGGTAACCATGGGTTTCCGAGTCTGCTTACATGCACCGAAAATCCTCGGCGACCACAATGGCATGGAGTCATCGCAGGTGGACCTCCATCTGGATTCGAACCAAGTGGTTGTGATTCTTTTGTTTGATTTGAAGTCTCAAGGATTAGGTCAATATTGAATCTATAAATGCTCTCTCTTTCTTTTACAGGATTATGAACATAGGTTTTTTTTGGTATTTTCTGTTCTTCTTCTTGTTTTGCTTCATAATATTAAACAGTAAGTACTCAATCCGTGAGTGTAGTTGCTTCATTATCACCAAAAAAAAAGGAACTAATAACCAATCTTTCAATTCAGGGTAAAAGAGAATCAGAGCAAAGGTTACAATTTTCATGTTTTGCCCATTGATATCCATGATCATCTGCCTCAACGATGATCTAGAAATGCAAATTACCGGAACTTTTGATACCTTCAATAACTCTAATATCAAATTTACACAGAAAGCAGGTTTACCCAAGAAATCACCATAAAATTTCAACATCAGGTAACTTGGTATACATAAGATTATACAAAGAATATAACCGAAAATCTTGATCAAACTAGCAATTATGAAAATGTACATACCTCTTTTGATCAAATAGATGTGCCCACTAATCAGATTCAAACCTTAATTTCTCAGCCATAAATGATCGAACAGGTGAAGTGCGTTGTTTCAAAATCAGAACCCTCAAAACCCTTTAGCCCCACCACCCTCTTCCAATTCATCACCAGATTTCTTCTCAGCCATGGATAAACAGTACTTGGCAATTTCTCTAAACCTAGGAACACTTCTCAAATCAACCTTAGTTCCATCTCTTAGAGTGATGATTACATCACCCCATTCACCAATAAATCTCGGAACAACTTGAACATCTTTGACAACTTTATACGAGAAATCACTCCTGTCCTGACCCGTTAACCCGGATATCACAGTGACCCGCAAATTTGTGAATCGGTATCGCAAGAAAAAACCTCTGAGAACTGCTGCCAGAGTGAGTGGCAGCCATACGAGAGTGAAACCCAGAAGAAGATTTGCTACAAGGTCACCGTAGTGTGCTCCGCCATCGAAGAAGATGGTTTCTTGGGTGGGTTTGGTGGTGGCAGTGGTGGTTGAGATGGGTTTGTTGGTTGGGGAAGAAACGTGAAGTTTGGTGGCTAGTCTGATGGTTTTAAGGGAATCGGGTTTTGTGAAGGAGGACAGGGTGGAACGGAGGGTTTGATGGGTGGTGGTAGGGGATAGGAGGCGGGGGATGGTGGTGGCAGTGGCGGCCGTTGCCATGATGGTGGTGGTTTTATCCGTTACAAGATTGGAAGGTTAGTTTTGAAGAGTTTGAAGCTGGGAGAGGATGGTAATGAGGGACCACGTGGCAACTCGTACGCCAATTAAAGCCAGGGAAACTGAATTGGATCAGTTTTAGGACCAACAAAAAAAAATGCATCTTCACCATCGATCAAATAAATCAGAAAAGTGAAAACTACAAAAATAGTCCTTTCAACCGATTAACTTCCGGTCATTTCTCTCGTAAAATTTCAAAAAAATTATTAATTTATTACATCCAAAAGTAACCATTTCTCAACTTACGAAAGAACGGTGATAAGTTAAAAAACGTAGACCCACTTGCGGAACTCTCATTCAAACTTCGCTTGCAGAACCACCTCAAATGCATGCCCACCTCACACAACTTGTTTCTATTTTATTTTTGGCCGTCTACAGGTTGACAATGATTACTTGCAGAGATGGTGATTTTTTTGAAAAAGTGGGAGAAAAATAACTAAGAGGTAAATTTGATCGGTTGAAATGACTATTTATGTCATTTTCCTATCAAAAGAAGAATGTGAATTTAATTTAATTAAATTTAAAATATGCAAAATATTATGTATGGACTGATTGATTGGTTTTTTATTAAGTCATGTATGAATAAAACTATTTGTGTAGATTAATCTATCTGTATAGATTTTGAGGATTTGATTTGAGAGAGTTTTTCATAGATGGAAGGAGCATGCTTTTTATTTGAGAAAGACAAGTTAGGAAAAAAAAAACTTGTTTTTCTGCATAAAGCTCTCATAATAGTTTACTGAATAAATCACTTTCTATATCAATAAGCCACTTACCGAACAATCATGTATAGCTGCCGAATAAGCAATAAGTCTCATTAAGATCATTAAGCTGCTAACAAACAACGTAAAATGAATAGAATCGTCCGGTTCACCATTAATGTATAAATAATTTGTTAAAAGCTTTAACTGAATACCGTTTATTATTAAAACAATGATTTAGTGAAAAGGTAAGGTTTAAGGAAAGGGTAGAGAGGTTATTTCCGTGACGAAAACCACGGGTATATTTAACAATGATTACCTGGTTGCAAGACCTTGGTTAGCGGTTGATCAAAGACCAACTTGACCAGTTTCGGATGGCTCTTTTGTTGCATATCAGCCTCCTCCTGGTCATGAGCTGAATCCAACAAGATCAAATAATCTTAACAAAATTCAGAGTAAGAGAAGATGAATAGTTAATGTTGATTATATAGGTTACATGATGATCAAAAAATGCCCAAAAAACGTTGATCGATTATCCTAAGCTAAACTACGCTTTCTGACTATAAATGATATACAGTACTCGTATGTGTAAAGTACAAACGCACGTATAAAAAAAGAACTCATCTCGACATCAAATCCGCAGCAGCGTGTTGTTCATGGTGAAAGTTGAAAAATGGCTGCGAAAACCTTGTACGTTCTGGTCGTGCCAGGCTAATAATGTACAAGTTGGTAGGTGTTGATGGGAAGGGAGGAGGACGTCACCCGAAATGAAAACCTGTCGGTTTGTAAGGATTGGACGAGAGAGTTGGAAGCTTTATAGCGGCAAAGACACCAGCAGCAAGGGCACTTAACGAAGCAAGAACAAATGCTGGTACGTTCCCTCCACCAAATAAAGCGTCCCACGGGCCAGCACCAAGTGAAACAACCATCTGTACATCGAAACGATGGGAGATTTAACACAAACTGGGTCACCACCCTTACCTTACCAGGTAAGATTCTCGGTCATCCAAATATCATAGTATAAGCATCTCTTAACCGGTGAGAGCTAACCGGGTAAGTGAGGTTAGCAAAGTGGTACGGTAAGGTGGGTGGTGCTTACCGGGTAAGAGCGAAAATTGTTTACCAACATCCTCTGACCAATAAAATTGTAGCAAACCAACTAGAGATGCACATGGATGCCCCTTTCCAAGCCCGTTTTTAGTAAGAAAAAGAAGCTCGGGCCAGGCCGGGCTTTGGGTGTTAAAATAGGCAAAATGGGATTTTTCAGGCCGGACTTTAACTGGGCCTTGAATTTTTTTTTTTGGCCTGATCGGGCTTTAAGCCTAGTCTCGAACTTACTAGGCACAGGTTTTTTGTACCGAATGTTTTGGGCATTCTAGGTCCAGGCTTTGTACAGAATCTTTGGGGGGTTTTGTGCATCTCTAAAACCGACTACACATCTACCGTATGAATGACAACTCCTATGTACACCCAAGACGTTGGTAGATGCTTTTTTGGCAATTAAGTGGTTTGTTTCATGATGTCCACAAAGAACAAACCTCTATTCAGAAGTAAGAGAATAAGCAATGCCTCTTTAAACTTATGCAAAGGATATATGCAATTTATAGCACATGTAGCTGCGAAAAGAAAACAACCAATAAGGAACGATGAAACTACCTGAGGTATAACAATTGCAAGATTTAGTACTCCAATCGCCAATCCTGTACGCAACAAAAAAACAAGTAGAATAAGCACACGTTAAGTTGTCTTAACAGATAATAACGGGAGGAAAAACGAGACAATCTACAGAAAGATTCAGCACAAACCTTGGCCACCTCCTGTATCAGCGGTCAATTCTGCCGTGACAGAGAAGGGAACACTATAAGTGATCTACAACAGACACAATTTGACACATATCAGAAACTTGTGCAGTGGAATTGTGAAGAAAAACTGAAGCAGCACATTCAGGTGTGTATCAATATTGAATAAAAATCTGGATTGTGTTCGGAACACTTATCGAAAGCAATATTTCAACCCACTCAACCCTAAGGTTACACGAAATTTGCTTTGGGATAATCCAAATTCTCATTCAAGTTTGCTTGTGTTTAGCATATCCAGAACCAGATAGAGAATACCCTTTCATCGGTAGTTATTATAGCAGTTATGGACAGTAACCAACAGTTATGAACATCCAGGTCAATTTCGGTGAGGCAACGAAATTAGAACACCAGAAACCTCACCTAAATGAGCATGCCAAAGTGATAGGTAACCTAACTGATCACTGAGAAGTGATAGGCACTGATTTAGGTGAGCACCGAAATCCTTTGACATGCCTATGGCAAAATGGAGGCTCCTATCTGAAATCATGCAAGCTGAAATTTCCTTAGGCAAAATATTTCGGTGTTCTCCCTTCCATGCATATGTTTGGGTTTCGGGGTGCTGCCCGAACCTCGCAAGGGGGCGCAACCCCCTTGACACCATAAAAGTTTAAAATGGCTTATACAAGCGTGAACTCCACACCACCTCACTTGCTTTGAAAGCTTAACTATAAACCTTTTCTATCCCAAGTAAATTCCAACTACACCAAAATGCTTGATGACTCTAAAATCACTGACAATTTCACTATAAGCGAAATCTCCAAGACATTACAGATATAGAAAAGATGAGCCTAAGACGTGGATTGGATTCATTTGTGATATTGGAGTACTTACAGCAAGGGGAAGGCCAAGAATCGCAAAAACAACCAAGGACGCATTCTTGATTGACTCGTTTTCTCCAACTATGTGTTCGTTTCCTTGAGATTGTCTGACAGAAATTAAGGTAATGATAGCAGTGCCTGCCATGCAGGCAAACACAACAAAGTTGCTCAATGCCCACACTAATCTTGACCCGAGCCATTGACACATTGGTTCAATGAGGAAAGAACTGATACCAAGAACAACCTGCCCCAAGATATTTGCATAATATGGTGAGACATAGTGGTAAAAGAATGACAAAAAAGAAGTCCTTGAAAAAATTGCAGCAGTGATTAAGACCTAAAATGCACCAATTGGACTTAATTAAACAGTTTAAGATCTCGATTTCAAAATTTGAATCGGTAGCTATCTAGAAAAAGCAAGACCGTTGATGCTCAATTTTGCGTTCTTACTGAATTCAATAGCAAACCAAATGCACCTTCTCTGACACCTTGATCATAAGCTCGAATTTCAGCAGCATCCCCTTTTGGGTTGCCATGATAAACCTCCCTTCCCATCCAATCCGTATCAAAAAGGAAAAAGGGAAACCACGACAACTGCACAAGTGAATGTAGAGGAAATAAGATAAGAAAATAGTATACATAATTAACACACCAACAGAATCTAGCTTACAGGCATCAGACTCACCCATGTAAGAGCCATCACAATAAGCACCGAATGCATCCCTACTGGTAAATGGCGTAAGCTGGTCAACAAGTTGACCAAGACTGCTCCAGGACTATCGTTAAAAGTTTCAACTTGATCTTCCTCAACTCTAGTGTTTATATCTGTTGTACTTGTATTCATATTAAAAGCACCCTCAGCTGGTTTGCCAACTTTGTGATCAACCAAATTTGACAGAGCTTTTGATTCTGAATTATGGGACCCAGCCTGCTGAGAGTCATCCAAAAGAGGAGCAGAGTCCGATATTCTGTGATGCTGCTTTGGTGCTAATGGGACCTCCTTTGCAAAGTAGAGTGTCATCAACGTGCAGAAAGTAAGAAAAATCTGTGAACACACCAGCAATATGTTAATATGTTGCATATCATGTGTTCATGTAGTTATCGCAAAAATATACTAGGAATGAACACAGCCCAACTAAATCCCAATAACATCATCCACATAATATATTATAGCAACATCTAGAAGGCTTTTCATCTGTCAATTTATTGACATTTATTAAATTCACTACAATTTTCCAGTTCAGCCAAACTAGAAGCAGAACACTAGAGGATCACAAATATCAACAAAGCCTGTTTCTAACCAACTATAACTTAATAAGAGAAGATAACAGAAACAACTCCCTGGTCAATGAAAACTGCAAGAGTTGACTTGCCACATAATTTAAGTAAATTGTATGAACATTTGTCGAATATCTAAAATACCCTTTAATATTAGATAGAATACAGGAATATTCAAAATAAATACCATAAATTTACTTGTAATTATGACAATAGACAAACATGTAATTGTAATATGAAACCCTTCCCAAAAAGAAATATGGCAATTGTCATGGGACAACCCATAGAAGGAAATGCTGGACTTTCATGGGATAGAGGGAGTATAACTCTTATAAAGACACAGGTCTAAAACAAGATTACTCATATTTTTACAGCACCCAATGATAACGGGAACCATGTATAATTGATGGGAAAGCTAATTTCTAAATTAAAAGCATATAGCCAAGTCCCAAGGCACGTCTTTTACAGATGCACCAACTATTATTGAAAACTCACCACTGCAACTAAAAAAGCTGCCTTCAAATTTCCACATGCCTCACAACAAGCTCTACTTGTCAAGAAAGGAAACCACCTGCCATGGAGAGTGTCGATCAGCAAAAAGTTTAGAAAATAAAAATCAATATGAAGTGAAAAATGACTGTTCCTGAACAGGTGTCTAAATTTATTAGACGCAATGACCACAGTTCAACTAACAAAATCAATTGCCATTGAACCTTTTTATTCCGGTTTCCATACACTATATAAAAGGGATGGTTTCACATAGATGTTTCACTGTGTTCCAATAGTTGTTTATAGATGCTTTACCTGTGCCAATTTCCACTAGAACCAGATAAAAACCCTAAAATGTTTCCAATCGCCATCCACGAGCAAAATATAGCATTTGCTGAGTTTCTCTGATCAGGACCTATCCAATAAATTTTAATCTTAGCATTTCTATAAACTTAAACATGATAAGGTGAAACTATTCAACAGACGATTCTAAAAAATATAGCTACTGATCCTATCAAGATCTCACAAAAGGAAACTTGGGCACCAACCTGCTAAATCAGCCAGGAGAGCTCGAGCAGGACCCTACAATTGTTAAAATCGTTAATTGGACATATATGTGATAACTTAAAACACCCTAGTCAAGTTATAACTTATAAACAGACAAAACGTGTTTAAAAATCCTTACCTGAACAGTGTTATTAGCAAGATCCAGCATCCAGAAACCTATGATGAAGACAAAAGCTGCCCTTGTCCGTGTACCTTTGAATGTGCTGCATTATGTAACTAGATCATACAACTAACTATAATGAAATATAAAGAAGGATATAAAGAAGCAAGCAGAAACCTGCAATGTTCTTTTGTATCTCCAATCAAGTATCCAATGTCTGCAGAAAACCCGATAGTTATCACCTAAAGTGCAAAATGTAGTTTAGCGGATCCAAAATATGTTAAAGAAAAAAAATCTAAAAACACAGATTTGTGGTAATGTAATAATGCTCACAGCAATTGATATCATGAGAGATCCAACCAAAATAAATGGTCGTCTTCTACCATATTTTGAAGAGCATCTATCACTCCAAATACCAACACAAGGTTGAACCTGAAAGACATAGAATAATATGAGGTTAATTAACAAAAAGGATCAGTAACCACCACCTACTCATCCATGCAAGCAAAAAAGAAAAAAGAAAATGCCTGGAATAACTCATGAATTCTAGTCAAACTTGCATAAAATACTAACAGAAAAGCAAGCACAGGAACCTTAAAATTTCTTTGCCTAATCTGAACCCAATTTCAATTTCCTGTCGACGACCTAAACAAAAATGTCGTAGACCACACATCGGTTGTTTGTTAAGGCTGGTGCTTTTGGTCCCTAAATCAACCTGCCCCACTTTATATTTCATCTCTCTCTCTTTCATGTACAAACATCCATGGCATCTTCTCACAACAGTATGCCAGCATCTCTTCCTTTTCTTGTTTTGTTCTTTTCTTTCATTCCCTTAATAATAAATTTCAAGACAAACGGAGAAGACAAAATAGTATCATTCAATTGGTAGCACCATCTTCATGCAGCTATTCAACTTCGATTAATTGCATAATGATATACAGGCCACCAGAAGTACAAAACTTGCAGATTATACAGAATCACAGTTAGATTTGAGCATATGATCCTGCTTATATGCATGTATATGTTTGGTGTCTACACATCGAAGGTGGCAAGAATTTATTAAATACCTATTGCTATGTACACTATGGAGGAAAAACCATTCGAGAATTTCTAATGTATCAAAAGATTCTCCTTGTTCAAACTCAGGTTTATTTTGTTGCTCCTCTTTCTCAACTTGGTATTCCTAAAATACATTGATGAAAAGGGATATACCCATAAAGCATTATTTTCCCTCCTCAAATTAACCTTCTCTATAATATTCAATTCAATGCAGGTTCTAAGATCCATACTCTCCTCGGACTTCTGATCCTCCTAATAAAGTAGTGCTTACATACTTAAATGCAAACAAACTCACAAAAAGGAGGTAAAAACAAAGAAGTAAGCTAATTGTACAAGAGCACCTAGAGACCTCACAAAAATTTAAGTGGAATCAACAACAGGCAATACAAGATCAATTGGGGTATCAATACTAATCACTTTATAATGAACTGCAATGGTCAAGACCTCTTATAACCACCAAAGAAGGGACATGGAAAATAATTGTTATAACAATGAGTGCAGCATAAATGCAAATGCCAGGGTAGATGTGTGGCCACACAAAAATGCAGCAGTTGCCAAAGTAAGCAAGTGCAGCGATAATGTTACATTTACTTGTAGATCATTTATAGGCCACCAAATGTTAACAAAATGAACTTCATAGATACAGAGCAGTAGGATAATTCTGAACTCTAAACAATTAGTACTGCGACTTACCACAAGACCTGTAATAGGACCACAAAGCCAGATAAACGAAGAGAATGCATGCCCTATTCCAAGTGTCTGCATCCAACAAAAAGCCAGAGTCAATAAAAACTTTAACCACCAGAATAAAATAACTGATAACTGATAACGATGGAAATCATCCCAAAAACAGGTCTTCCTGTAAGCAATTGCTGATGTACCTATTACCATAGATATATGTGGTTTCACGTGGTAATATACCCATTACCACTAACATTGCATAAGAGTAACCCATGTTGCAAATGTGGTTTTCTCCTTTAAAATTTTATGTATCATGTTAATGGTATACCATTTCAGGAATAAAATTACTTTATATCCTAGTACACATATGCATACAGATGTGCACAAAATCAATAACTAGCCTCAACAAACATATACTCACCAACTTCTGGATTTTGTCACATTTATAGTCAGCATAATAAGGGGTAAGGCATGGAGCAACTAGTGAGGTTATTCCCTCCCAGGGTTATGGGTTCAAGTAAACAACCTGTTAACAAAATGCAAGAGAAAAACCATGCACGATAACTTCTCTCCCCAGCAGTGTTATTTCAGGCACGAGACGCATCAAGCCACAATGGTCTCACAAGGGTATGGAATCAAGGCAAGACACAAGCATCCTTTGTTGAGATGCATGGCATGCATAGAAACAAACAATAAAATACATAAACAGAAGAATCACTAAAAAAGAGGCATATATATTTCAAATATTGAATTTATTAAAGCATCATTAATATTGGTTAACCTCAAGATTAACAACATATCATAAAATATCAGTCACTCAATTAAAATATCACTCGCACTGTTCTTTTGGTGATTTTATCTATTAGTCAAATATAAGACGCCCCTCCATTATTAGTGTTTTTCAATAATGACTAATGAGTATAAAGGTTTATGTATTGAAACTTTGCCAAAAAGGGAATTTGGTATTTAGTCGGAGATATCCCAAAAGAAAATGATTGTGTTTATTAAGTGACAAAAGAGTACAAATTAACAATCTAATATTTACATCAACACCAGTTCACCTCGTTGCCATTCCACTAACATTTAATAGACATTGATTATAGAATAGCCCATTAACATCAAGATGAACACACATAGGCACCTACATTTCACCAATATCAAGCTCATACACAAAATCACAAAAGAACATGCGAGAAGCCAGGACACAAAATGACAGAAAAAGTGAAGGGATATGCAAGGTAGAGCAAGGGACCTATTACCGATTGTTCAATCTTTTCTTTTCTTCTTGCACATGGCATTTTGCTATATCAGTTAAAACTATGTTTAATGGTCTCTGCTATTATTTAGTTCTTTTGAAGCAGATACAACATTTGCAAAAGATATCTTATTTCAAATAAAAAGGTGAAATACAAAATATTTTATGATTCAATTCAAGGGTTAAAAAATCAACTTGGGCCTCAGAGGCCAAGGCATGCCTCAGCAACACCATGAGCCTTATCTTTTTCAAAAAAAGCACCATGGGCCTTAGACAGGGCAAGGACCCAAAGTTGCAGGTCAATAAGATTTGTGCCTTGTCCCCCTTGAGCGACTATGCTCCCAATCGGCACAAAGCCTAGGAGCCTTAATGCATCAGGGTGTCCCTTTTTACGTCCAACATGATTCTCTCATATGATTGCTTCAATAAGCCATTGCAGAAACACCCAGTTAGGAACTATAGGAAGCAAATGCAAAATTCAACTTCTATTTGAAAGTAATTCGTTATTATTAGCCACCTTCATAGTGGGACATGCTTCAAGCATCCAACTTTACACTAAGCAATTCCACTTGAAGATACACTCTAAGTGCACAAAGAAAAGATAAGTTACACATAATAGCAAGATCTCATCTCTCACACGCTAAGATTTGGACGAGAGAAAGGGGTGTGATGTATGTGTGTATGCACCTAATTTCCATTAGCATTGTGGCAGCGCATATGTCAGGCATAACATGTTGTCTCCCTAAGAGTTTTTACTTCCATAAGTAAATAGTTTTCTAAGTTCCAATTCGGATATCATGTTGTCAGGCACAACATGTTGTCTTCCTACAGGTATATGCCAAGCTTCTATTTCCTAACTCGAATATCAAATACCCAAGTTCCAATTGGCATCTATTTCCAACCAATCTTATCTCGTAAGTTATCATGAATAGCGAATTTATCAAGCATGTACTATCAAAAAACAGCAGCTTAAGCATAGAAAATAAGAAATTAAAATCTGCAACGCGTAGCCTAAAGAGTTTCCAACCCAAATCTTTATTCAGACAGTTACTTTCATTTCTCAATCAGGAAAGGATCAGGGAAATTAGAATCCTCCACCTACAAGGTATCACCACCAAAGGAACCTAATCACCGAACATAATATTTGAACAAACTGCACTTGCTTCAAAAGTCGACATCCCTAAGACTCAAACAGGCAAATAAACGCATAGACAGATCCATATATATATAATATCACATATTCACTAAGACTTGCTATTAAGAAGTTCAAATTTAAAGAGACAAAACCTGGATATAAGGAGTAAGAAGCGATAGCTGCAAGGCCCAACCAAATTGAACACCAGCAGCCACAGTACAACTCAAAACCAACGTAATCAAACTACAATTCTCCGTCGGCGATCCTTGCGGTGAAGAAGAAGAATAACCGGAGGCATTTCCATTAGAAAATCTATCGGATTTATCGGGTTCGATGCGTCGATTAGGTTCTTCATCAAAACTCATCATCTCAACCTCCGCATCGGCATTATGCTTGAGGTTTTTGTAAGGAACACGGATTGACACCGAATCCATAACCTCAAATTCACAGAGTTCACAGTCGCATACACAAATCAGACATTACACATTAAGATCTGGAGTTGATTTGATGAATTGAAACCTGAGAATTTAGGTTGACTTTTAGCAGCGATGAAGACGTAGAGTTTAGACGAAGTGACCGACACTCAAAGACGGTCAAATTTGGCCGGAGGGATATGTTGTAAGTTTGGATCGGCGAAAAGTGAAGTATGATGTCGGCATCGCCGTTGATTAGTCTCGTTCGAGTGGGCCCCCACGTAGGATTCCATTTATTTTTCCCTGCTTTTTTTTCATATAAAATAAATGTTAACTTTTTCCATTTCCAGATAATTTTTTTCTTTAACAACAAATTTATAAGGATGTATTTGTGTATCTTTTAATAGTTTTATTAAAAAATAGTTTTTTGAATCGTTAAAAGGTAAATCTTGTTTGATAAAAAAATTTATTTTTTAATGATTTTAAAATCCTTTAAATGATTTTGAATCATGTGTTTCCTTTAACCATTCAGCACCCTAATTTCGTTGTAAATAATTACCAAATAATTATATTTTATTTTGTACTATATCATGAGAATCATTTAATCATTTTGTACCAAATAATTCAGCAACTGTCAAACAACCTTTTAGGTTTTTATAACCCTTCAAAACAAAGAATTATATTTTATTTGTATGACTTTTATGACTCTTCACAACAAATGCTCAAAAGTTAAAAAATTGATGTTCGATCTTTAACGGAATTTTTATTTTAAAGACTACAACATAAATTATGGAGTAAATTACGTTTTTAGTCTTTTGTGGTTTTGAAATTACCATTTTTATCACTATGGTTTATAATTTATTGTATTTTCTGTTTTTATAATTAAAACTTATATTATGGTTTATAATTCATTTCTATTTTAGTCCTTCATACTTCAAAATAGCATTTTGATCTTAGGAGTGAAAATAGAAATAAATTGTAAACCATATGAATTGAAAATCTAAATTTCAAAATCACAAGAATGAAATTCACAATGTGTAACAAACCTTAAGGAAGAAAAACGTAATTTATTTTATTATTAAAATATTTAATACTTTTAATAATATATTATTTCTGTTTTTTTATACGTTTAATTTTAAAATAAATTCTCTTTGACAAGTAATTATTTTTTCAGAATTCTTTAAATTTGAATAATTTTATCATTTCTTTCTTACTTTTTTCATTTTAGAGAAATTGTATTAAAATAAAAAAAATCCTCAAAATCTCTGTTTTAAAGAATATGTTGAAGATGTTCTGACTAAACAAAATAGGTCAAGAAATCATATAACAACTCGTTCAACATAAACTTTATTATATATAATTTTAAAAATTGCAAAGTAAATTTATTTTTATTCATTTCATTTTAGGCAATAAATTACTTAAAAACATGAGAAATTATGATATTGCTTTAAGTAGTTGACATGATAACTAACATACACCCGAAAAACCGTCTGAAGATTTATATGTAAATATATTATAACATCGTAAATCATTGTTTATTGATACACATTACTTAAAATTTAAGGTTATAGTTAAATTGTATGTAAGTACAATTTATTAAAGTTTCATATTTTGAATCTATGTAACTAAAAATAGATAAACATAATCAAACAAGAATAAATATTTCATTTTAAGTATATAAAAAGTTAATATATAATTAGGATAATCATTGAGTCATAACAACATATAAACATAATCAAATAAAAATAAACATCTAATTTTAAATAGTTAATTTGATATTAATATCTATACCTTTTTCAATTTTTAAGATATCTTTATGTTTATTTTTTATTCAAAAATAAGAACGTTATCGTCTTTTCAAAACCACATTAAATTGTTTTATAACATCAGCAAACACAAAATATAAAACAAAATATTAAAACCAAAATGTATCTTGTTATATTGCGTAATTACCGTTATAATATATACCTTCACTATCTTTTATTACTTTCTCTTTTTACCTTTTAAGATTTTCAAATAAAGAATAAGAGTAAAGTACAAATTTGGTCCCTATGTTTTATTGAAAATAACAGTTTTCATCTTTGTAGTTTCAAAATTACAAGATCGTCGTCATGGTTGGTAAAAACGTCCCGATTTGACCCCTCCTTCTAATGACCATTAAAAGTTCGTTAAATGAAGAGCACTTTTGTCTTTTTAACAACTTTGTTGTCTTTTAACCTATCAAAACCGATTTTATAATTTGGTCTATGGTTTTTGATAAGGTAAATGACAAAAAAGATTGATAAAAAAACAAAAAAATACCCCCAATTTAACGAACTTTTTAACAGTCTTTAAAAAGAGGTACCAATTACGGACATTTCTATAAACCCTGATGACCATCTTGTAATTTTAAAACTACAAGAACAAAAAGCCTTGTTTTTAACAAATCATAGGGACCAAATTTATAGTTTGCTCAAGGAATCATGAACAAAAATGGTGGTCCAGCTCAAAAGTAGTGTGTAAAATGGGGCAAGGATCCCGAGTGTAAAGCATTGATTTACAAAGCAAGAAAGAGGTGAATATAGGAAGTACGAAACCACACGGTATTGAAAAGGAAAACCTTTATTGGCTACAAACCATAAAACCTACATATGACAGCTATACATACTACAAGCCTTCAAATTTGGGTTATATCATACCGGCACTGATGCATCGGATTCTATCAGAATCCAGACTTCACCTTCGATCAACACAATTTATCTGCTGATTAAGAAACCAATAATTTTAATTATTGTTTCATTTGCTAATACCATGAGATCCGAGATCCGCAGCAGCTTTCGCAGCTCGGTTTAGAGCATCAGACATCCAAAGAGCACCTTTCGAGAAGTAACTGCTGTTAACCACAGTAGTAGCGGCAGCTGCTGCTGTTCTTCCAGTAGCCGATACAACTGATTTGGTGGTGTCGGATATGTGGTACCTTTGGTCTACTGATCGAACCGCTTCAACTCCAGCAAACACCTTGTCGGTCAACCCAATTCTTTCACTCAACTCGGCAACTTTGGCAGCCGCACTGGCGGAAACTTGATGTGACTCATCGAATGCTTGGGCTTTGCCTAGTGCGTCTTTGCCCAGAATATAGCCTTTGGCTAACATGGTCTTGACCACGTCTTGAGCCAGAGTCACCGCTTCCCCAGCTGTGTATGCATATTGGTTTGCTTGTGGCGACACCTAATATGAATGGATTGAATAATTTCAGAGTTGTTTCGTTTGACCAAAGAGTCCAGTTGGAACACTAATATTTAGGGTGCATCTTTGCTACACTGAACAAGTCAGGACTTACATTGTTTCATATTTGACATAACTTTTATGTGGAACAAAGTGGAACACGCATGTTCCACCCTCACCCCAAGGAACAACATGGAACAAGGCGGAATAGACCTATAATACGCCTCCCTCTTTACATTTTATTCATTCTTTAAATTTTATTTATTGTATATTATACTCTTTAAACTTTCACTTTACTCTCCTCAAAATATTAATTTCATACGGTTTTTATATTTTGGTTAACTGACGTAATTTATTAAATATTGATAACAATAAAATAATGTGCCAAAGGGCCTTTGGCCTAGCGGTATTGTAGTCCTTGGCCTCCTAGGAGGTCAAGGGTTCAAACCTCACCAACGGCGAGGAGAGTGTGTGAGTTTATTTGTTGCATTTGCCGTATATAAATATTATATACTTCAAAAAAAATGTAGAAAACAAATAACAATTGGAAATTATATAATCTTTTGTTTTGGTGTCATTTTAATCGTGATGATGAAAACTTTCTAATGATATATTTTGTCATAAAAATATTTATTTTATTATAAATTAATCGAAATATATAAAAGATATAAACAATTAATTAAGAATAAATTGGTCATTTTATTTGTTCCGTCATGTCCAGTTCTGTCTTACCAAACGCTAAACAGTTGTTTTTTCCTGTCTTGCATGTCTTGGTACCAAACGCACCCTTAAGATCGTAAAATTTCTCTTCTTTTTTTACCGTATCTCTCATTAAAAATCGAGGCTAGTAGTTTTTCATTCACTCATAAGAGAGAGAGAGGGAGAGAGAGATGCATTACATTTGAACTACTCCCATCGTCAGGTGACCATGAAGGTCTATTCCAAAACTCTGATTCATCTACATCCTGGCCCCATCGCGTAATGCATACAGTCTGATCCAAAAGTGTGGCTCCCTGGAAGAGTTTGAACAGAATAACATTAAGCATTCCAATTTTAACGGGAGGTAATTATAAATGGAAAAGAAGACGGTGAAGGACCAGTGCAAGCAAGGGACTTTTTGGTTGGTTTTCCATTAAGTTCTATATGGATAAAGTAGTCTGTGTGGATTAATTTGTTTATATAGGATGAAAGATTTTTGTTTGGGAGGGTTTTTTTTATAGATGAAAGGAGCATGTTTTTTAATTGGGAGATGCAAGTTTGGAAAAAACTTGGCTTTCTGCATAAAGCTCCCCCTAGAAACTTACTGAATAAGCCATTTTCTATATCGTTAAGCCACTACCAAGTAGTCATGTATATCTGACCGAATAAGCTGCGAGTCTCATTAAGCGGTCCAGAGAAACCTTAGGTAAATGAACAAGAATAAGTGGTCCGGTCCAAAGGAACATGTCATGTCACCATCAGGAACATTGCTCACGTAAAAGTAAAGCAGCTACATCGAGATGAGTATATCAAGCAGCTGAAGAGTAGTTCAGCTACAATTCTAAATATGGAGGACATTGAGCATTGGATAAAGTGATTTCCTGGAGAATTTGTTCCCAAGTAGTGGTGTCTGAAGCAGAGATCCAGTTAAAATTGAAAGATCTTGCCAAATCTCTTGTGCAATTGATCTTACATAGATATGCATATATAGTGCACTGTCACTCCATTTAAGCACTAAAACTAAAAAGAAAATAGAAACAAAAATCTCTAATTGCGGGGAAACAGTTGCAAGCGAGCATATTGCAACCATATGAGAATAACTTACACTGAGCAAGACAGCTGTTTCTAGAGCATAAGCATCCTTAAATGTCACATAAGCTGTACATGCATACTCACCAGCCCTGTTTATTAAATAAAAAATACCTCTAATCAGGACAGCAGTGAGTAATTACAGTTATAAAAGTTAATCCAGGAAAGCAAATTGAAAATCGCAATTAATAAGACAGAACTAGGATCAAGTTCTCCACAATAAAAACAAAAAAGTTAGACAACGGTTCAACACTTGCAAAACAAGAAGAAAATGCCTTGGGACAAAAAAGGGATTAAACCCAAAGGATTAATAATCTCCGGTTACCCCAGCTGGATCAATGATGAAGACGTTTTTATCAAAAGCACTTTTAAGCCCACACATCCCATTGACAGACTTCCACATATCTCATTTGCAAGAATCTTACTTTGGTGGAAGTATTGTTCTCTCAAAACGTTCTCTTTTACCATTATCTTGCTTCTACCATTACTCTGTGTGGACCACTTTTTCTCATTTCTTTAAGGGTGCATTTGGTATGCAGACAGGACAGGACAGGTGTTCAGCGTTTGGTAAGACATAACAGGACCGGACAGAACAGGTTAAAATGACCAATTTACCCCCAGTGAGCTGTTTAGTATTTTTTCACTAAATAATCGAAACAAATCGATTGAAAACAGCAATCGATCCAAACAACAAACATAAATCAGTAGCAAAATCGATTGAAAACAGGCAATCGATACAAAATCAATACAAAACAGCAATCGATACAGCAATCGAGTAGAAATAGCAAACAGATGCTAAACGATAATTTACGAGAGTGAACCAAGAAACTGAGAACACGAAGCTTACAATTGGGTACCCAAACCAACATCTAAAATCCTTCAACATGAACTCATCAAAGATCCAAACAACTATACTCGATATAGCATAAATCAAAGTCAGTAACCTCTACCCACTTGTTCACATAAATCAACCTCCCATTCCAATTTCCACATAAACAATAAATCAGAATCAAAGTTCAAAAAAAGAAAAAACAGAGTCACGGAACACAGATGCAGAGATGCCTACCTGAATGAAATAAGGTGATCGCCGATTAGAGTTAGATAAACCTCCCATTCCACTTGTTCACATAAATCAACCTCCCATTCCACTTGTTCACATAAATCGAGAAAGGATCGTCAAAAAAAATGGAGAATTGGAGAGGTTAGGGTTTGGTTTAAAATTTGCGAAAACAGCAAACAAAATGCAAAATCGAGTAGAAACAGCAGTCGATACTGTCGAGTAGAAACAGCAAACATATATACTGTCGAGTTCTTCTACGAGTTTTCCTAAATCGAGTATAAACAGAAAACTGTTGAGCGGACTATGAAGGAGAGGAGAGATCGATTACCTAAGAATATGGAGAAAGGAGACGGTGGAAGCGATGGAGGAGAGGAGAGACCGATTGATGAAGGAGACGGTGGAAGCGATGGAGGCGACGCTGTGAAGGGGAAGAAGGCACAGTATGCGTATCAGGTTTTTGAGGGTAAAGTGGTAAATTTTTTCTTGTTCTATTTAGTTCCAGGGGGTAAAGGGTGGACTACCGTGTCCCACCCTTGTTCTAGTTAGTTCTAGTCAGTCCCATATAAAGCCACACCAAACATAGGACAATTGTGTTTTGTCCTGTCCTGTCCCACCCTGTCCAACGTACCAAACACACCCTAACTGTTATCTTGTTCTCTGTTCACTTGATTAGGGAGAAATCTTCATCAATTTAGTACCACTTTGGGTTTCTAATACAATAGGGAGAAATCTTCATCATTTTCTTTTCTGTACCAATTAGGGAGAAATCTTCATCGTTTTCTGGGACCTCAGTCCTTTTGGAGAAGCCAAAGCAAATAACCTATCAGATCCAGCTGCATGCCTTTCTTAGCAAGAGTGATACTTCTATCAGCTTGTGTTGAATCATGCCATTTCCTCTTATTCTACTCCCTTGAAACCAGTGTAGGCTGAGGCAATCAGCGACACATCCTGTCCTCTCCAAATAGAACATACTTGATCTATTTGGATGAGGATGTATTTCGTTTTGCATTTCTCTGATCATCCTCACAGTTGGTGGAAATGCTGCCTTTGAAGTGCTCTGAATCCTCTATGTTTCCAAGAGAGAATTCTCTTCTCCAGGAGTACCATAGCAACACCTGAAGCTACTACATTAATGATAGCTGTCTCCCTGTTCTATTCTCTGAACTTTTTAGACCACTTCTCTACGAGTCTACGGGAGTTTTCTACCAAATCATTGGCAATTTCCTTGTTTCATCGCACTATTAAAAAATTATAGACAGCAAACTGCATTATTTCTTTTATATCTATAAAGAATCATGGATAGGGAACAGACTTCAAGATCTTGGTATTCTAAAAGACTTCCAAAACTGGATTGGCATACCTTTTCTTCAATACAAATTGTTCTTTTATACCTGATAATGAAATTCATATATCCTCCATTTATTCATCATCAATAGCCTTCTTGGAGCATTAACAGTTAGGCAAGGACAATCTATAAGGTAATGTACATGTAAGGATATGAACAATGTTATCTTAACCTTCAGCATCTAAGATGCAAAGTGCGTGGCAACTGTACAAATTCAGGGGGTACTAGGTTGGAGGTATTAGGGGGTGGGGAATGAGGATGAGAATGTTGCTCGGTTCAATACAATGCAATGAATAGTTACTTAAAAGTCGGTAATCACCCATACCCCAGTAAACTGGGGGATGAATTTTCATTCCCTGGTTTCTTTTATTTTCTCGACTTTTCGCCCTCTTCTTTTGTTGCCTCCTTCTCCATCGCCTTAATCGACCCCTAACAGCCAACCTCCTGCTCCGTCGCTCCACCTTCCCTCGAGCCCAAATTGCCAACCTCCTGCTCAACAGCTTCCGTCCAGTCTCCGTGCTGCTCTTACCTACTCTCATCGTTCCACCTTCCCTCGATACCTAATTGCCGACCTCCTACTCAACAGATTCCTTCACGTGCTGATCGCCGACTAGGCGACTACCTCCCCTAAGCACCAACCTCCTGCTCAACAGCTTCCCTCAAGCCCTAACCGCCGGTCACTAGATCCTCCACCATCCTAGGATTACCAATGAAACAGAATACGCTTTCCCATCCCATCCCCCATCATATCCATTCTCATTCCGGTGAAATAAACCAAGCACCCCCTTATATTCCACCTTTGATTTCAACACTTTTCAACCCTACAATATTTCAGTGTTTGCAGCAAGTGTTTTGTAATTGGGAGACTACAAGTATTTATGTATTCGCTTGAGAATGGGGAAACTTGAACACGCAGGAACAAAATAAAATCAACAAAAACTTACCAACGAAGTCTCAACTATTATTATGTTAAGAGAAAACATTTTATTTTATTTGACAAGTAACTGTCAGTAAAAATATAAATAATTTGTAAAATGATGATAGGGTTGCATAATGATAACTCAAGGAAATAAGGGGACAACCGCATCTCCCATACACAAGTACATTACCAATCAAATATAAAATTCACTGATTCCATAAATTTCAAAGGGATGTCACAATCCAAAATCACCTGACGATATCAACATGTTCGATCGTGCCACAAAAAGCAAAGAAAGTGTAGACATCTTGCTCTGTTGCCTTAGGGGACAGGCCTGTAACTTCGACAATATGTTCTAGAGTCATATCCGAATCTGCCAAATAGGAAATACATGTACATAATCAGCCAACAACATATGTCAACTAGTTAATTCAATACTACAAGGAATACAACTAAGAAACACCAAGTACTCTTAAATAGTCACGGACAAGAGTTGTAGAAGTTATCAGCAGGGTTTTGCCGGGATTAATATGACGCAACCTTGAAAAACGCTAGTTAAATGTATCAAAAGGTTGAGAGTTGGCTTGAGATAGATATATTGCCCATGACGAGAATACGATAAGGCGAAAAACAATCATCACGACAAGTCTTTTATACCAAGATAACATGAAACAGAAGAAATCATAAAACCCTGATAATCAACTAAGAAAGGATTCTAAAAGAGAAGATACTGCAAATCACTCTAACTACACTAATCAAAATACCATTAAACTCACCAATGACCAAGGTACAAGTTCTGAAACTCCTAAAGTAATAAAGGTATACCTGCTAGCATGCTCTATATAAAACTCATGAAACTCCAAATATGTGAATTCTCAAATTCAGGAAGCAGCTGAAGTTAAATAAACATTCACGAGCACAAATAGTGTACCATGTCAACTCTGCATCTTAGAACAGGAGTGAAGGACAAGTAGTATTTGCTTATCTATCGCCTTTCAAACAACCAATCAACAACTGATCGGTTCTCATACCCAAGTTTTACTGTATCTATGATCACATAATGCATAACCCCAAAACTAGGTTAAGCCTTTGATCGTCGATGGAAACAACAAAATACTTTATATAAAACGATTGAAACAAAAGGGAACAGTCACGACCTAATTTACTATCTTCACGAAACTGTTCTTCGCAGTTAAATTTCTGAAAATTGAAAGCTTGCAAACCCTAACTAATAACACGGATTATATTGGATCCGACACAAAGACTACCAATTTCAACTTAATTTGGTAATCGATAGAAGTTGAACAGATCTATAGAAAATCATTCAGAACCATCCACCAATCATATTCAATAACAAACATGAACAGAACGAACCTACAGATTAACAAAAGACTGTATTGGATAACAAAAAAAACACATCGATCGAGTAGAGAACTAATTGATCCAACCGTAACGTACCACTTATCTTTCAGTGATAGGGCGAGATCTTGAGAGAGAGTGAAGTCCCTGCACCCAAAAAAATTAAGAACAGTACTTTACAGACCTCAATATTGATAAAGTTGTTCCAGATGCTACGTAAGAGGCGTTGTGATTTTATTAGTGGTGTAGTGATGTATTTTAAGTTAATTCAAAGTAATCTATTTTTAAAAAATTTATTTTGTTATTTAAGATGTAAGTTTTAAACATTTAATTATTTGGATAATCGGTTGAAGATTAATTTTAGATTAAAAAAAATCCATGTCACTAACCACATCAGTAAATAATACTAAGTTGGATATCACGTCACTTGTCACATCATCAAGATAACCGGTTAATGCTTCAACTGATTACCCGGGTACTTACAAGTTTAAAACTTTACATCTTAGATATTAAAATGAAAGTTTTAAAGTAAGTTACCCAAAATAAAATCAAGTTAAAGTACGCTAGTTTTTAATGCAATTTACCATTTATTATTCTAATGGTATATGTATTTTACGTAAGAAATAGCATTTAAGGCTGCATTTTAAACAAAAAGTATAACTTTCTAGAAATAGCAGATAATTTGTGAAGTTTCTTATAATAATTTCACCCTCTTTGAATTCTTGTATAAAAAAATATTGGTTCTTACCTTAAAGTTTGTGTGAAATAACAATTTGCTAGTTTATGTATTCTTGTTCCCTATTATATCCAATATAGTAATTGGGTACGGTTCCACTGATAATGAAAATTATGGTCACAAGGGTGAGAATGATCTTTCATCCTTAGATCAAAATTTTCAATTGAAGATCAACAATAATGAGATCCACAATTCATATGATGGAGGTGAGATTAAAAGTGATCAAAGGTTCAGATCAGAACTACTATCGTGGAATTTTATGTAACTTAATAATTTGATGAATTGAAAATAATTTGGCAAAAAAGGATAAAAGATTAATAGAAGTTCAACATTTTTTATACGTATTTGGTTGAATTTGATGGTAGTATTAATGGCGATATGGATGACGATGGCATGCACTGTATTAATTAGTGTTGAAAGATTGTCTCATATGGATGACGATGGCATGCACCGTATTAATCAGTGTTGATAAATCACATAAAAATATCATACGTTATCATATTCTCCATGTTGTGATTCTAATATAAAAACAAATATACATATAAAAATCGTTTAAAAGAAGCATGATAACATAATCATTGAATATAATATATAATTCTCATGTCATATCAGCCCATTTCATCTGAGATTCTTATGAAGCGATAGCAGTCACTAATTAACAGATCTAGCTAATACAGGTGTGAAATATATCAAACGTACCAATCTCAACCACACGATTCACGTACTTTCATTGGCACAGATGCCTCGTCCAACAATGACTGGCATCGTGATGCCGTTCCACGTGCATAAGATTACACATTTCCATGGAATCACTTTTAAGACATCCTTTTAAGGATTCCAATCTAGAAAGATTCTTGGAATATGAGTGAAGGTGATCTTTCTAAAGCTCTTGATCAGAGAAGCATGATTATCACGTTGTGTAAAATGATTCGAGTTATAACATATTTTGCATTAAATAAAACAATACGCACAAATGTATATGTAGGAGGTTTTAGATACAGACTATGTAATTCTTATAAATCGTATGAATCAATCTTAACCGTTCATCTAGTCTAATGAATATATGATATCATAAATGTTTTAACTGTTTCATAATATAAAGCGTTGATCATAGTTAATGAATCCTAATCATCTTTCAAAAATACTATATCATAATAAATGAATCATATCATTTTCATTAATATCTTAATTGATTAGTTTGCATCTTAAACTACGTGTCACTATGTATATATATATATATATATATATATATATATGTGTGTGTGTGTGTGTATAACATGTTAATCATTTGAAACTCTAAAATTTATGAGATCCGTAAGATTTTCTATCTTAATCTTAAGATTTTGTTTCACATGAATTTTTTTCAAGTATAGTATTTTATATATCTATATATATTTGTTTTCATATCATGTGTTTGTTACATATGATTCGGTTCATAATGTGAAACTTTTTTTACATGAATTTTTTGTTTTACAAACACAAAAAAAAAAGGGTCGCATAATACATGTGAAACAAATATATATTAATCAATATATTAAATATTATATTTAGATAGAAAAAAATTATATCAAATGGTACATGATGTACTTATTCTCAAAGACCTTGCAATTTAGGGAGTTGTCGATAAAAGGTCCCTTATAACATATATATCTCAAATAAAACTAAAATAATGCAATAAAATCACCTTAACCATATAAGACGGTTGCTAAGTCATTCATTAGTTGTCAACTATATTTAAAGCGTTGTTTGACAGTTGCTGAATGATTTGGTGCAGAATAATTAAAAGACTTTCATGATATAATACAAAAGGAAATATAATTGTTTGGTAATTATTTACAATGAAATTAGGGCACTGAATGGTTAAAGAAGATCCAAGATACAAAATCATTCATAGGGTTTTAGAACCATTAAGAGACATATTTTTTTTTGTCAAACAAGATTCCTCTCTTAATGAAACTATTAAGAAGTAAACAAACAACCATAATAAATTTTGAAACGATAATTTAAAATGTGTGGGATAAATAAACCTACATAACACAAAACAAAACAGTTATTCAATAAATATATGGTTATGAAACTGAATTAAAGCATATATTTTAGAACGTAAAAAAGACAGGTATCATATAATTAATTGTTCATTAATTGCTTAATTAATTAAGAAGTAATAAGTAATTAATGGGTTACATAAATAAGCTCCTAATAATGTCTGCTTCAGCACTGTTGGTGTCTGTAGATTGCAAAAGCTCTGATAGTCTTTCACTTAAATCATCCACTTCTCTGTGTAAGCTTCTTATATAATTGCATGTCTCCTGCAACACTCTTGAAGCTGATACCTACACCCATAATTAATTATAACTTTTATTAATTATTAATTAATTAAATTACATTAATCAAATCAATTCTTTAATTATCATTAAATACATTCTTTGTTTTTTAAATAGCAAGAAAAAGAGAGAGTGTTTGTGCAACCAATACAACCCAATAATTTGAAATATTTATGGAAATGATGAGAATTCATTTATTATGACTCAAATATTTATGAAAGATGAATAATGTTCATTAATTATAATCAATATTTTATATTATGAAATAATCAAAATTTCTATGAAATTACATATTCATCGAATTAAATGGACGGTTGAGATTGAATTGTATTGATTGTACAAATGTAAAGTGTTGTATAATAACTCACCTTTCTCTCTCTCTCTCTCTCTCTCTATATATATATATATATATATATATATAGTGTTGGGTTCACATGACACTCGTGAAATCACAAAATAATACTGAAACTGCACAACGATTCATTTTGAATGTATGAAAAACAAGAAACCTCAAATATTAACACTATATAAAAGTTTACCTTCACAAATCTTCACGGTGTTTTATTATGAAAGTTATGTGTTATTTAAGTCGTCTCACCAATTTTCTAAGTATAAATATATATATTATATATATAGAGGAGTGATCATATGAAAACCGCCCTCATTTGTGTAAACCGTGCAAACCACCTTCATCTGTCGATTTCATTGTTTAATCTTATGAAATTTTTTCATGAACTTGTTTAATCTTGTGAAATTGTTTCATATAATACTTTTTTTGATGAAGTT